GGTAAGTTGTCCCGGGCGGATACGAGCACTCGGCAAACTAGACACGAAAAAGCAAAAGTTCCTTTTTTCTTCTTCTCGAAGACCGCCCTCTTACTCCTCGCCTTTTCATTCTTTACACGTATAAATATAAAGCTGGTTTACCGAATCCAACGAACACTTGGAAGCATTCTACCAAATTTGTACGGTCTCGCGGGTTCGAGCCAAGTTAATTTCACACGCGTCGAGAGATAGAAGAAACCCGGCCGAGTTGATACACACAGAGACAAGCCGGACATTCATTTCAGTTCCCGCGCTTTTGTCGTGGCCCTACGACAAAATGGTGAAAACCAAGCCCCGGCTAGTATCAGGGAAAGGCGGACGAACGCTTCAGAGGGGGTTGGCGTACAAAAGTTTTGCGCGAATAAATCCTCGCTACGCAAGGAGCGGACAATGGAGAAGGCCGCCGCTGAAAGCGCGTTTAAGCGTGAATTATTGTTTAGCTGGGGGACGGTTTAAGACAAAAACGAAGCTTAAAGTGGATCAGCTATTTTCTATCGGTGGGTTATACCTTTTGCCATCTACTATCTTCTAATCCCTTTCGGCTCGATGCTTCTTAATGCTACACTCATAATGTCCGACAACGGAGTTGCTTGTTTTAAACCACAGAATTTGTTCGCGTGAGTTTCTTCAAATAGGTGTAATTTTTATAGAAAGAACTGCGTATAGTGTTAGCCTTGATGTGTGGATTTTTTATTTTGTCTTCAATTTGAAGTTAAATGTTGTGTCGATGGGTTTGGTATAAATTTAGAGGAATATGGCAACAATCTAATTTGAAGGTTAAGGTCTTCATTACTGGTGTAGCATCAGGTGGTCAAACCTTGAACCGATTTTATCTTGAAATGTTCCTTTCAAGACTGTAAAAACTGAAATCGGATACGAAATTTGAGTGAGCGCGTGAGCATGAGTCTGTATGCGCATACGCTTTAGTACGCGACTGTATGCGCATGCGCGTGTGTACGTCTGTGTGCGCATGCGCGGGAGTATGCGTCTGTATGCGCATGCGCATATGTGAATCTTGTACCTCACTGGTAGGGTAGTTACACAAAGCTTATTGAGTTTGTTGAGTATTTTTTTCTATTAAATATCCTAAAAATTTTGAAAATATTTCAGGGCTAATTATAATAAAATATGTTGCAAAATGTTTTCAGATTTTTTCACTGCAAATTTTAGGTACAACAAATAAAAAATTGTAAAGAAATATGTATCGTACTAAAATTTAAGAACATTCTTCCTTTTACAATATAAAATTATTCTTATAATTAAAATCTAACTTATAAGTTTATTTTGCTATAACAAAAGCAACCAACGATACTTAAAGAATAAAAATGTATATGTCATAACATTCAATATTGATATAAACAAAATAATGAATTATAATTTGTTAAGTAATTTTATTATTGAAATTAGAAAATTTATTATATTATAAAAACTGTGATTATTATAATATAAAAACGTTTAAACGTGATATATTTCAGTTGCGGAGCTAACCTAACCTCAAAATAAAGACACCGTGTCCAGTAATATATCATTCGTCGATTGTTTATAAAAATTATTGTCACGAAGCTTTATGCACACTAAAAAGAGAAAAAGCGGTGACAATCAAATACAGCAGACTGCAACAGGGTGTCATTTATCGAAAACGCGATCGAACTGCAAATCTCTCGTGAAAACAGTCGATTTTTACACGTGTCCACGGCTTGATATCGTGTTTCGGAACTAACGTTTCCATTTTTACGGGGTATCCGTTTTCAAAATAATTCCGATATTTGTTGACCGTCCCGGGCAAATGTTTGAGTGGCAAATACACGTCGCTGAATTATTTTCGCCGCTGTTCCGCGAATATATTTCATGTTGATCCCCGACTGACGTTACACGGCCATAGCTTCTCGCGATTCTTTTAACCTTTCGCAGCACCGCTACAAAAATCGCATTACCTATTTTTCCCGTTTTTTTTTTCTCCCTTTATTGCACGGACCAGGTTACTGTAAATATGCTGGAAAAATAGTCGAACTCATGCTATCGACGTAATTCTTTGTTTCTACAAACGAATTATACAACGACGATCCGCGAAAGCGAGTCTCGTGTTGTTAATTCTGTAAATATTGGTTCTGGCAGGAACTGGATCGAACGAAAATGGTACACTTTGAGGAAGATTATTCATTCCAACGGCTAGTTTCTTTGTAATCCCTTCAGTATTTGATTTCGCAAACCGATCTATAGATGCTTTGTTTGCAATTGAAAGTACTCCTCCGTTGAAACTGCAGAATAACAATGAAGGAATTGCAGTGACGCGAAAAATGTTTTGCAATGTGTTACAGAGGACTTTGCTAAAAACGAGACATAGAAGTAAAATGTAAACTGTGGAAAATAATGAACAAAATATTATTCCACGTGACAGATTGAATCGTTAATGTATAAAAAGTAGGTCATTTAATATTTTATCGATTGTCGATGTAAAAAAATATTCTTTAATAAAATTATATTATTTATTTCAAGACTACACTCATTTTTAAGCAGATTAACAACAGTATACATTTTGTAATTCATGTAGTGGTAAGATTAACAAGAATGTCGAAATGACTAAAATTTACTTTCATAATCTGAATCTCATTTTAACAATTTTATCAATTTAACAATTGAGTCATTTTATGGTTTAGTGGCTATCAACAGAGCAAAAGAGATATGCATACGTATGAAAAATAAATTGTATAAAAATGTTTGTGTATATGAGGAAAGAATATTAAAAGATATGTTCTCTATAAGATGACAAGGTTTCATGAATGAGTGAAGAATTGTTGTCATTGAAATTTTTGTAAGATAATATTAATTTAAGTCGATGATTCGTTTGCCAAAATAATCCATTTATAGAAGTTTGAAAATTTTACCGATGAAGTAGCGAAAGGATTAATCGAATTAAGCTTGCCTCGTTTCAAGCTGATCTAAATGAAACTTCTCCCGGAAGTTTGCCTTAATCTTTCTTCCCATCTGGCTCCAGACTAAAAGTACTCCCGCGTGAATTTACCAATTTCTTATCGAGTCCCCGTTTTAACGAAAAACGTCGTTCGTTAGAGTCATCAATGACCAAGAACAAAAGATCGATTCTTCGACAAGAAAACTGCAGGTTAAGGGAAGTTCGAAAAAGATTCATTCAGCTGACGATAAAAAGCTTATCGACTTAATAAGCCCTGCCAACGAATGACGAAACGATCTTACGACGTGAATTTTTAAATTAATTAGCGGAAATAATGCAGGATTTTTTGTTATTATTATGAGAGCGGTATGATTTTCAAATTTGGTAACTTTGTAATTTTATAATTTTGTAATTTGGAAATTTGGTGATTTGGTAATTTGGCAATTTGGTAATTTGGAAATTTAATAATTTAAAAATTTGAAAAGCTGATAATTTGGAAATTTGGTAATTTAATACATTGAGAATTTGGTCATTTGGTAATTCGGAAATTTGGTAATTTAATAACTTGTTAATTTGGTAATTAACAAATTTGGAAATTTGCTAATTTGTAAATTTGGTAATTTGGTAATTTGGTAATTTAATAATTTGTTAATTTGGTAATTAACAAATTTGGAAATTTGCTAATTTGCAAATTTGGTAATTTGGTAATTTGGTAATTTGGTAATTTGGTAATTTGGTAATTTGGTAATTTGGTAATTTGGTAATTTGGTAATTTGGTAATTTGGTAATTTGGTAATTTGGTAATTTGGTAATTTGGTAATTTGGTAATTTGGTAATTTGGTAATTTGGTAATTTGGTAATTTGGTAATTTGGTAATTTGGTAATTTGGTACTTTGGTAATTTGGTAATTTGGTAATTTGGCAATTTGGTAATTTGGAAATTTAATAATTTAAAAATTTGAAAAGCTGATAATTTGGAAATTTGGTAATTTGGTACATTGAGAATTTGGTCATTTGGTAATTCGGAAATTTGGTAATTTAATAACTTGTTAATTTGGTAATTAACAAATTTGGAAATTTGCTAATTTGGAAATTTGGTAATTTGGTAATTTGGTAATTTGGTAATTTGGAGATTTGGAGATTTGGAAATTTGGTAATTTGGTAATTTGGAGATTTGGAAATTTGGAGATTTGGAGATTTGGAAATTTGGTAATTTGGTAATTTGGAGATTTGGAAATTTGGAGATTTGAATAATTTAAAAATTTAAAAATTTAAAAATTTAAAAATTTAAAAATTTAAAATAATTTAATAATTTGGAAATTTGGTAATTTGGAAATTTGAAAATTTGATAAGTTAGAAATTTAGTGATTTGGAAATTTGATAATTTGAAATTTGGTAATTTGGTAATTTGGTAATTTAGTAATTTGGGAATTTAGAAATTTACTAATTAACAAATTTAAAAATTTCTAAATATTAAGTTGCAAAAATTTGTAACTTTCAAAAATGAAATTAAATTAAGAAAATAACTTGTCAAATGTATGATCTTAAAAAATTAAGAAGTGCAGAAATTTATAAATATTTTTACTTCACTTCGAAAATTGGAGACGGCAGAAAGTCGTGAATTGAAAGATTTGGTAATATAGACATATTAAATCAACAAGTATCAAAATTTGAAATTTGACGACTTTCCAAACTTGCAGGTTAGAAATTTAATAATTTGACATTTTAATATTTTGATTATTTGCTGAAGTAGGTACTACTCTATTCTGGTAGCAAAAAATAATACAGTATATTGTATCATAAAAATAACATATTATACTTGAAAATAAAACAATATATTGTATTGCAAAAATAACATATTATATCTGAAAATAATAAATTGCAACACGAAAGCAAAAATACCCGTTGTATCGCATCGATCGATGTTAGAAAATGTGGAACATTTTGTTCGAGGATAATACTTTGGCCAGCCGCAGTATATAAGTGATGCAATAAATAACAGTCTATAGGAAATAAAACTTATATTTGTTTGTTTGGCACGGTTTACTTACACGCTCTGCTACGCAGGTCCCAAATTTTTAGGGTACGATCGTAACTGCCAGTAACTACTTTTGAAGGCTCGCCAAGAAACTTCGCCGCCATCACCTTTCCGCAGTGGCCCGTTAGAGTGTGCTGAAACAGAAACGGGAATTGCCGTTTTAGAACGTTTAACGACGCGTTCCGCGTGATAATAGGATCGTTTGTAATGCACGTGACGTATTAAAAAGGGGGTCGGTCGCGAACGGTGCTTGAATTCTATTGGCAAGCAGATTGTCGCGACCGTAGAACCGTGAAAAAATTCGCGAGTCTTATCGAGATTATGTTGGACGTGATTAGCAGCGTTAATAGAGAGTACATTTTTCTGGAGACTGGTATACGGGAATTTTTCGATTTGGTAGTTTGTAAAGTTTGAAATTTAAGAGTGTGTGGATTTAGACATTTGGGAATTTAAGGACCTGAGGGTTTGAGGATTTGAGGCTTTGAAGGTTTGAGAATTTAAGGGTTCGAAGGTTTCAAGGTTTGGGAATTTGAGGGTTTGAGAGCTTGAAGGTTTGAAGGTTTGAGAATTTGAGGATTTGAGGATTTGAGGATTTGAGGATTTGAGGATTTGAGGACATGGGGTTTAAAGTTGAAGTTTTGAAAATTTGAGGGTTTGAGGGTTTGAGGGTTTGAAGGTTTGAGAATTTGAGGATTTGAGGGTTTGAAAGTTTGAAGGTTTAGGAATTTGAGGGTTTAAGAGTTTGAAGGTTTGAAGGTTTGAGAATTTGAGGGTTTGAGAACTTGAAGGTTTGAGGATTTGAGAATTTTTAAATTTAAGAGTTTAGGGATTTATGGACGTAGGAATTTGTGGATTCGTGTATTCGGGGATTGAGGGACTTGTAGACTTGGAATTGGAGAATTGAACAACTTGAGGATTGAGGGATTGAATGCTTGAGAGTTTTGAAGATTTGAGGATCAAGGGTTTGAAAGATTAGGAATTCTTGGAGTGGAGGATTAGATCAAGAGATTTGTGGATTGAGAGATTTAGGCACTTGAGGAACTAGGAATTTGAGGATTTAGGGATTTGAAGATTAAGAGATTTGAGCTTTTATGAATTTTGAGAATTTAGAAACTTGTGAATCTAGAGATTTGAGTTATGTGAGAAATAAAGAATACAGAGATTTACAGATCTGCAAATTGAGGGAATTAGGAACCGTGAAAAATTATGAATTTTGGAACTGAATAATTTGCAATATTCTGCAATTCTTCAATTCGTCAATTCTTCAATTTTTCAATTCGTCAATTCGTCAGTTCGTCAATTCGTCAATTCGTCAATTGGTCGATTCGTCATTTTGTCAAGTCATCAATTTTTCAATTCGTCAATTTGTCAAGTCATCAATTTTTCAATTCGTCAATTGCTCTATTGATTAATTTGTAAATTTGCAAATTTTGGGATTTATAAATTGTATAACTCCTAATATAATAAATAAAAAAATTTGAAAATTGAATAATTCTTCTGAAAGTTTTAATTTGAAACGAAAATTTGAAATTCAGCACTGTACAAATTTCAGAATACAAAAATTTAAAAATATAATAATCACAGATTTAGAAATACAAGAATACGTAGTCTTATGAGTTTGGAAATTAAAATACTCTTCCTATTTCAAATTGCAATATTTCATAAACCGTCACATCTCAAATACGAAATTTCCCATATACATCCACACAATTTGCGTCATCTCTGACGATTAGTATTTCAGTAAAATCGTTGAAATTAATATCAAACCCGAACAGCCATACACGAATCCGTACATTTATATTTCCAATGTGCCTTCTTATGTAACACAATTTTACAAAAAAATCAACCGAAAATGTAGAATTTCAATATTTCGCAAGCTAAAAGTTGCAATTTCTATCATTTCCATTAAATCTGCAATATATTCTGGCATGCAATATCTTTACTCCATTTTAAATAAAATTCGAGCTAAAATTAATATCAATTTTATAACAGATATTTCATAACTGCTACAATCCAACGATATAATATCTGACTGTAATTTCACAAGACTATTAATTAATTCAATTGACTTTATTAGCAGCAATTATTAGCTCTTACTTTAATCATTCATCAGCATATACAGGGTGACTCACCACATTTTGCCATCTCTAGATTTGTGTTATTATTATTACTCATAGCAAGCAATGTTTCAGATGAAGTTAAATGTTTTTGAGGGGGGCATATGCTGGTGGTATATTTTTTTTGTAGGTGGACGTGTAAAGGACATATGAAGGTCATTAATATTATTTTTTAATGGAATCATATATTTTTTATTGCATCAGCTGTTACTCCTTCATATTCTTTACAAAAAAGTATTAATCTATTTATGTGAAAAAATCATTACTTTAGGAGATATTTTAATTTTAATATCTATTTACAGAAATGTCCAAGGTGACGACCATTTGCATCAGAATACTTTCTGAATCGAAAAATTAATGACTTACTAACATTCCGTAGTGTATAATCTTTCTGCGTGTAGCACTTTTCCCAGCTACAAAATAAACTGATAACATGTCTATCTTTTCTTCTTTAGAATACTTCATTATGAAGTGATAATTCACCGTATTAGAGACGTAACAGAGACAAAATTTCACTGTTATTGCGTAATAAAAAAAAAAAAAACTCACAATTCGTTTGGTCACACATGACCTCTCAAAGCATGCAGAAAAACATTTGCTGTTCAGTTAGGGCAACTCATAATATTGACCAGGAAGTCACGATTTCCTAACAAGTTAGAATTAAAATATCTCCTAAACTTTTTTCACATAAATAGATTATTACTTTTTTGTAAAGAATATGAAGGAGTATCAGCTGATGAAATAAAAAATATATGATTCCATTTAAAAAAACATTAATGACCTTCATATGTCCTTTACACGTCCGCCTTCAAAAAAAATATACCATCATATGCCCTTCTCAAAGCCATTCAACTTCATCTTAAACATTGTTTGCTATGAGTAATAATAATGATGCAAATCTAGATGGCAAAATGTGGTGAGCCACCCTGTACAGAAGAAAATGTGCAGATATCAAAACTAAAAGTACTGTTAAGTCTTGATTCAATTTTCACATAGCAGTGCATATTATTTTCATAAAAATCCGATTATTCGTTATAAGATCTCTAACGGTAAAAAAAAAACGAAGAATCATGCTTAAAACGAATATATTAATAAGCATTAGGCGTGAAATAGTTAATTGAATGCAGAATAACCTCGAGATGAGCAGTTTATAGGCAATAAATATAACATGTGCATATTTGTACGCGCTCGTAAATTTGATCGAAATTAATTATTAAATGCAATTCATACATTATGAAAAGAGAAACTTTGCTTTCGTTAATGTATGTACGTTTGTTACACGAGGATTTTTAAAGCTGTCTATTCAATTTCCTGATTTACTTTCCCGTTTATATGAAGCAAAGCGATTGTTCTATTTCCTGTTTGTGATTGCGTAGGCCACACAATTAGCAAACACTATACACTTTAAGTGTTAAATACTTTAGGTAGTTTCTTTATGTTAGAAAAATTCTATGTAGTTGAGATAATTGACTAACACTTTTCTGTAGAGAACGTTTAATTATGAATGCATATGCAGTTTAATATTTTTGTTGTATTTTAATTGCTTTATATTAACCCTTTATTGATTGATGAAGAGTTTTCTCAGGCTGTAAAGAACTCATTGTCGAATATTTTCCGATGATATTAATAAGAGATTATGGAGTTTGGAAATTATGAATTCGAAAATAAGAGGTTTTAGAAATGAAGGAAACTTGATTTTGAAAGCAGAGACATGTGAAACTTTAGGAACATAGGAATTTAGGAATTTTAGGAAGTTTAGGAAGTTTAGGAATTTTAGGAATTTGGAAATTTTAGAATTTTAGGAATGTTGGGAATTTTGGGAATTTTGGGAATTTTGGGAATTTTGGGAATTTTGGGAATTTTCGGAATTATTAGGGATTGTAGGAATTTTAGGAATTTTAGTAATTTGGAGAATTTAGGGAATCTTATAATAAGTAAGATGAGGATTCAGAAATTCAGGAACTTCATAATTTGGGATTATGTGAATTCAAGAATATGAAAATTCGATGACTTAAGAATTTCTTAATTTGCGAATTTAAAAATTTAGAAATTTGGAGATTTCAAAATTTGTGGATTTAGAAATTTAGTGATTTGAAAGCTTAAAAACTTGAAAATTTTGAGATTTTGAAATTTAGACATTTAGGGTTTTGAAATTTCAAAATTTTGATATTTGAGAATTTGTAAATTTGCAAATTTGGAAACTTGAAATTTCAGAAGCTTCAAAATCTAGAAATTTGAGATTTCAGTAATTCCAACATCTAAACATCAGAGATTTCAGAAACTTGAAAGCTGATAAATTTTACGATTTAAATATTTATTTAAACTTTGAAACCAAGTATGTCGTAGTACAATATATCCCTTTTCTTACCATATTTGCAACAGATTGCAACGAGTTAAGAATTTGCTCTATTTTCTCCACGAAAATATCAATTTCATTTAAAATCAGAATAAAGTGTAATGAAAGGACCGTGTAGAATAACTTTAGCATGGTTTATTATTAACTGGCCTGTTCGAAATTGATCAAGCTAAATTCACTCGCAATCACTGTAAAGCAGAATTTCGATAGAACGCGAGTATAATTTAAATAACGGAAACACGTATGGACTCATCCAGTTATCGCGATAAATGTAGAAAATTATTATGTACGTCACGATGGAGGGTTGAATGTTTCGGTTGCTAATACCAGCAACAGCCTCGATTACGTAGTTCCATAGCTCCTATCAAATGAACGAACTCGATTTAATATCGCCTGTCAATATTCGTATTCATCTCGATTCGTACTCTGAATGATAATCTAAACACAATCGATATCGAGTATTTCGATTTGGACTTGTTCCCATTGCAAATGTGTTTGCATTTCGTAATTGCGATATTTATGGTCTTTTACAAATGTTATTTTACTTGCACTGATTAATATCGTTATTAAAATGCACAAATATATTTTTGTAATTTAATTATGAGTGAAATTTTATGTAGGATAAATTATGGCTATTGGAAATTAATTTTATAATGT